GGGGGGGGGGGGGGGGGGGCAAGCCCTGGCCCAGGGGGGGCTCCTCTGACGTGCGTCGAACGCAGGTCCAGCCTTTGCCCCGCTACCAAGCGCCGGTACAAAATAACAAATTGCATATATGATGACTAAACATTTTGAGCCAGAGAAAGCAGACCTCTGGAGGGATCTATTGGAACACTCGCTCATCTTTCCTGTTACCCCGTTACAGTGCGCTCCGAAGGATCCATGGGGGCCACTCCGAGGGCCTCAGAGGCCCGACGGTTTACCTCATGTCGCGGAACCTCCAAAACTGGATGGGTGTCCGGAAATATGTCAGATATTATTTACCGACAAAGAAAAATGGGGCGAGACAGGGTCATAATGCGGATTTTTGCGCGTTGGACAAGCCAATCACGAGGGAGTATTTGCATGCATGTACCATGTCGGCGTTCCTGCAGCGGCTACCGATTCGCGAACACCTCGAGCGAGGGCTCGCTCACCGCACGGTAGACACCCTCGTCATCCTCCCTCGCCGCCGCGTGGTACAGAGAGGTCTAGAACACTTATTGTACGATCGTGCCGCAGCTGTTCTACCACTCGAGCGACGAAGCTTACCAGCATCTTGCTCGCTGTGCGCGAGACGCAATCAAGTGAGATCGGTTCTAACTCCGATCCCCCCATCCCCGAGATGGACCAGGCATCGCCGCTCCACCTCAACGGCTGGGCCATCGCCTACGACGCCAACTACGACCCGAACGCCGAGGACGACGACCGCGTGGGCTTCACGTGCCGCGCCCAAACGGGTCGTCCTCGCGATCCCGAGGATGGCTTCACCTACGTGCATCACCTGCGCTTCGATCGTAGTGCAGAGCATGATCTACGAGTACCCGACGAGTCCACCATTGTCGAAGCTACCCGCTCCGCGCCCATCGGCGTGGCGAGTTGTATCGGCAAAGTTTTTGGTGGAGTCGGCGGCGACGCCCACTATGAATACAGCTCGACCGCGGCCGCACCGTGGATGTCATCCATGAAGGCCGCGTGCATGATTTCCAGCCTCTTCACGCGCAACTCTTCCGTCCAAGACAACGTTCGTGGCTTGCGTGATCACTTGCGCGCTGTGATTCCAAATTCACGCCGCAAGTGTCCACCAATGGAGCTTGCGACGATGGTGTTGAAGGCAGAGTGGATGATGATGCACAACGATTTGTCAAAAGTGGGCAGTGCATTTCTTGGGCAATATTCCGAAGACGGCGTTCAGGATACAAATCAGGTGTACAAGGGCGGGCTTTGTGCGCCTCAAGATGTGTACAACAATGGTTTATCGACCCCCATCTACGTTCCGAAACTTGATCGCGCTGCGATCAAACTACCCGCGCGCCCACCTGGTATGGCCAGGACATCGGACACGGCGGGGCACCTCGGCCACATTGTCGAGGATCACCTCGTCACCGACATGAGGGCATTCTCCGATATCCACCAGACAAGCAAATCCCGCCGCAAGCTCAGTACTTGGCAGACTACACGCGGAGGGTTTGGAGGCGTCGGATCAAGCCCCAGGACGGTGGCAACACCATCTGATCACCACGACGGCTGGAAAATCCTCCCAGAGCATGACGATAATCATTGGCAGCCATACGAGGAAGGAACTGTGCTCGCCGGAGAAACGCCTACCATGGAGGACCCTGGTCTTACCCCAGGTGCTGCCGTTGACCCGCTCGAGCTGTCACAGGCAACATACAGCGCGTTTTGTGGTGGTCGACTGGTTTCCGCTCTCCTTTCAGACAGCGGATGGCATGGGTTCATGCAGGGGGACTTAGGACTTCTCCTTCACCATGCCTTTGGCCCGTCAGGGCATGCATACAAATGGACAAATTTGTATACGGATCCTACATGGCTCATGCATCCCAGGGAAAGGTTCCAAGGCCGCCGCGCACAAGAAGTATCCGAGTTACGGCACCGACGAGCTCAACGGCCCACAGCAGCGAGGTGCCCTCGCCAGGGCGTCGAATGTGGGCCTCGTGCCTTTATTCATGCCGTGCCTCAGCCGTGCAGAATACATCGGCGGCGCCGCCCTCGAGCATTTGTCGACCGTTATCCGCGACGACATTATGATGTGGGCATTCTCCTTTGGCAATTACAAATAATGGTTCAAACAGAACGACACGGCGATTGGCCAGGACTGTATTCTATTGCCAGAGGGTGGTGGCGACGCCCGCTGCGATATGGCACAACTCCGCAAGCAGCCTGTCAAGGCACAGGAGAACCGTATCGCAGCTATCCTGGCGTCGCAGTTTGAGTCAACTTTCGAACAGCGCAACATGATCATCATGATCCGCAAGGCCAGAGGGTTGTCGCTGATGAGTGACAATGCCTCCATAAAAGTGTGGCGTAAATCGCATGAGGTCATATGGGAATATTGGGCTAACTCCTTTCCTGCATACGTGAAACAAAGACACTACTGCAGGGGTATCAACGCCATGGTGGTCTGGAGCGCAAACGACATTGCGTGCGCTAATCATGGTCAGACCATGTTGGACGCCCGTCGCCATCAGGACCGCGCTCCTACCATCGTGCGCGAGCTCATGAAGATGGACTGTGAGGGCGGCGTCCCGACGCTTATGCCAGTACATGTGAAAGTGGACTTGTCACGTTTCATCGACGTGATGCAGTGCTTCCGTTGCCCCGCCGTCATGGGGCCAGGCAGAGCGGCACAGTGGGGCGTGCACCCAAACGTCGACTACCACGCGGGCGACCTGATCAGGACTATGCAAATGCGTGGTATTACAGTTCTTCCCTCAGACCACTGGATTGATGCGTGCGACAGAGTCACGCCTTCGGCTTGGCATTCGAAGCAGAATAATTGCAATCTGGCGACGATGGCGACTCAGTTTTGCGATGCAGTATGCTACCGCAATTTCTGTGCATTGATTCAGTCATTACCATCGCAGCCATATCCATTCAGACCTCCTCTCCTGACAGCAGTCACAGATTCACAGGCCTACACACAGGCCACAGAGATTATGGAGGCTCTTCAATTTCGTGAGAAGACGACCAACGAATGGGAGAGGAACCTCAGCCTCACCACGCTGATGGCTCAGACTGCAGGGGAGATGGCTCATTGTGCCTGGATGGCCTCGTGCGCCAGTGGCACATTGCCAAAATCGATGCCGTTGGCAACAAGCGATCCTTGCATGCCCATTCCTGGACTCGCAAAAGAGCCACCGGCACCGGATCCGACGAAAGCTATTCCTGCTAGCGATCCATATGGTGAGGCATACGAAGAGTGGTTCAATCAGCTTCTCCTTCTGATCAACGACTACCCTTGGGCGTGGGCATCTTGGGAGTCAGACGAGAAGAAGGAGCTCTTTCATCCCAAATCGTGAAGGACACCAAGGCCGCACACGCTGTTACTTGGGTTGTATACGCACAGTTCCTGCTCCAGA